ATCAATGCTTTTTTCACAGATATTCGGAATGAAAATCTACAGTGAAAGTGCAACATTTTTTAAAAGAAATGTTAGATTCATGCTTAATTTAAGCATCATGGTACACTTAAACTCAATTCTAGAGCTAGTTTAGGTAAGTGCACTTTCTCTACAGTATGTCCTATGACCGAGTATATTCAGTGAAAAACGTGCTCTACCAAATGGTTGAACTAGATGGGGTGATCCTGAACATGAAAAGGAATTAAATTATACCAGCTACTTCCTGGAATACCTTTATACTCCAGGAACCAATGCTTTGTATTTGACATGACCTCTGTCAGACATATCAGAACATAAAGCATAGGTTTTACAGGGACGAGCTTAACAAAATTCAAGTCTGATATCAAAATGCTACAACTGATCTCGAAGAGCCAATAACGTTTCTTCTTATTTAGAGAAGGTTCTCAATTGAGGATTCTTAATGGTTGCTTTAGGAAAGGCGAAAACAATTAAACAAAAATGGAAAACTGCTGTCTTTCCATCTCTATGCTAAATCACTGGGAAAATAGCCTGGAAAACCTGATTACACCTCATAAAAAAGGACAAATGAAGGTCAAACAATGCACAATATTCCTTTTGCCAGGTTCGGAGGCTGCAACATTTAGGAAGGGGGCCAATGACTCACTGGTGTGTGGATTACGATAAGGCAGTGGCCACTTATTGCATCTGCCTTCAATGCTTTAGGACATACTTTTTTTTATATTCTTTCTAGGAATTATTTCTTTATTCTTTTCTTTTTAATGCTAAAATAATTTCTTGCTGGTAATTCTGACTCTTGACACAGGAAACTTGCTTGCATATTGGAGCAGATGATTCAGCTCTTCAAGCCCAAGTAATGCCTGAAATCAGACCCCAACTTTTGAAAGACTTGAAGCGGAGATAAAGAAAAAGGAAGTTACAAGCATTCTTTCCCTTAATTACTGAGAGAAATGTGAGAAAACTGGCAGATGTAATGTCTTAGGGCTGAAGTCCAAAAACAACACCTCTGGCCATTCTTTCGTTTATTCATTATATTCTGATACATGTAATCTTGAAAATTAAGTACTTTATTACTCTTACTTTATCATAGTTCTACTAACTAATGTATCAAGAAAAGGTATTTATGATACAAATGTCTTCAGTATTTCTAAAAATGCCTACATGCATACATATAAATATATACACACATAGATATGTTAACAACAAAGCCATTTGCTGACATTTGAGAGACATTTTCCTGATGGCAATGAATAGCATTATATCCAGATAGGTAGAGTTATCTTTTTACAGATGCGTGGTTTGTTTTTCAAGTGCATTGAGGTTCAATAAAAAAATCATGAGGGCAAACAAATGTTAACACAGTACATCAAACCATGCGAAAATGTTAGAAAGGTCTTATGACTAACCCACTCCAATATAAGGTTGACAGAAATAAAAGCTTTTGATCAGATCACATCGATACTCTTGGAAGATGATATGCAAGCACACTGTCATCCCACACAGAGACACACAAGGACAAACAACCATACACACTCACAGTCACTCCTAAAGGCCAATCAACCTAACGTGCAAGTTTTTGGACTGTGGTAGAAAGCTCGAGAACCCAAAGAGAACCCACTCAGACACAGGGAGAACATGCAAACTCCACACAGAAAGGTCCTGGTTCCCCTAGGGACTCAAACCCAGAACACTCTTGCTGTGATGCGATGGTGCCAACCACCACACCACTGTGCCGCCCTCTTGCCAGACCAACCTGCGAATTGTGCCGTTGGCTCAGATGTTACTGACACTCAGTTTTGGTTCTCTCCTGCCTTTTTTCCTAAACCTTTAACTTTTAGTTACAAAGTTTTTTTGAATTAAATGGACCATATATTGGAGAGGCAGCAAAATATACATATACAAAAATACAAAAACCACTGTTTCTCTCTGTTGGTTCTTTTTTCTGGTAGATCAAACCACAAAGTGCTAACCATGAACTCATTTGCTAATTGCAGATACCAGCAGGTGCGAGCAATCTGTCACATTGCTCTAATAGTGCATGCGTGAGCTTGGCAAGGTGTCTGCCTATATGTGTGTGTGAGTGGCAGAAGGCGTATCATGGCTGCATTGTGGCTTGCTTTTTTTCATCACATCTGTCAGAGTGTGGTGTTTAAAGCTGTGTTCTGTCCCTGTGGAATTAAATAGAAAATCCACAGATCGCTTGGAGGATGACTGAATAAAGAAGGAAATTGTAATACAACATACATGAGCAACAGATTGGGGCTGTATACTCCAAGACGACAGAATCAGAGGTAGCATGAGAGTTATTTGTTTGTTTGTTCTTTTCAAATCCATACCTGGAAGTCAGACAGTAGGGAGGAAAAAACAGAAAAGGAAAAAGAGCTGAAATTGTTTGTTTATTTGTTTTTCAAATACATACCTGGAAGTCAGACAGTAGGGAGGAAAAAACAGAAAAGGAAAAAGAGCTGAAAATAAATGCAGGAAGAAAGATGAGTAAATACTTAGCAATGGTCAACGCAACACTGTAAACTGTAAAAATGTATTGATTGTCAAATGAGTTTCATTAATCAATATTGCGATGTACTGAGATGCACAACTGCATTTTAAAGGAATAATGCACATAAATATACATGTGGAGCAAAGATCTACAGCTGGAAAAATAGTCAGTGGTACAAGAAAGTCACACATCTGAGAGGGGAAATAAATTATCCTCCGACATGAAACTTTCCACGTAAAAAGAATATGACTAACTTCTGGGATGCTTCGCTGGGGGGACTTTCTGGCCCACCCCTGGCTGTCTTGCGTTTCCCATTCATCTCGGGCATTAGAGGAAAACAAGAGAACAAAACATTTAAAAAACTTCATGCTTACTATCAAGCACAGAGCTGAGTTGACAGTGGAATATCCTGCCTGCCAAAAGTTTACAGGATCAGTGGTCAGTGCTTCCCTGCATACCAGGAAATGTAGAACTGAATGGCCTAAAACTCAAGGTTTCATGATGGTCTACTCAGTGAAGAGACCTCTACCTCAGTGACATGACAAATGTACATTAATTAATAAAAATTTTAATGGACAGAAGGAATGAAAGGAAAGGTGAACCAAAATGCATTTAAATGTATCGATACATTTCTACAAAAGATTATAGTTTTGGTTATTATTTAAAAGAGTAGTTCTAAAAGTTGTTTAATCAGAGGATATATTTAATTGTCCATGGGCTGGTTCTGCCTTTTTGCTTTGTTTTCGACAGTTCAATGATAATTCTCTGATATGTTGCAAGGTTTTGATTATATGAAACTTGAAAACTCATTTTAAAACCTGGTAAGGACAAAGCCATGTAAAGCCTAATAACTTAAATAAGGTGCAGTTTCTTTTTCAGGCTATTATTAGGGTATATGGCTTGACATCAATGAAATTGATATCTTATGCAAGACTGTAAACCAAGGATAAAAAAACCAAATTATTTCTGCACTGTGCTCCATACATAACTGATATTAGGGGTCTTTGGAAAAATATTAACTGCACTTGTGCCTGTTAGAGTGAAGCAGAGCTGTGTGTACCATCAGCCTTTCAAATTTAACAGTAGATAAGAACTGAACACAATATCAGACAAGATGATCAATTATTCTCTACATTTTGCATATTCTTAAACCAGTAACTAAACTCAAAACAAGTGTGAAGCAGTCTTAATAGTATTGTGTATTGTGTATTTAGGATTAGTATTTGATTTTTAAGCCAAATGCTAAGACATGTGCAATGCCGCAATTCACTAATTTCTCAGTGTGAAGAGAATGCTAAAGGTAAGATTACAATGGTAACTTTAATTGGTTTTCACAATAATGCTGATGGGCATTTAGTAATTAACATCTACTCTCATCTTTTTGCTATTTATACACACAGCACTATGTTAAACACACAAATTCAAAAGCTCACACGAAAAGACTGTTCTCCATTCAGAAGTCATTTGACTCCTGCAAATGCACACATCTATTATTCCGTTCAATTCTATTTTATATATTCTAGAGTTGGTTGAATCCCACTTCTATCCCTTCCAGGAAGTCCATGTACTTGTATGGTTTGTTTGAAACCTTCTTTGGGTTTCTTGTTCTTTCTGAAGTGATTTGAGACGTAGTCCATCCTGAACAACCAAAGAGAAAATGCTCAGACTTTTATCAATGAAATGTGTGTGCATGTGTGTGTGTGTGTTTATTGGATCTCTGGCAGAAACTACACTTTTTGATTCAACACTTTTTGTGAGTGCATGTGAAACTCAATGACTTTATGCATGACATGGAGCCAGAACTAGCCTTAGACTGAGTGTAAAACAGTATAATTCACACATATGTCAAGACTTGATTGAATGTGGTGTTCCACAATGTGTTTCTCTCTTAAATATTTAGAATCTGTTGCAAAGCACAGAGCGAGATATGAATTTTAATGGAATGGTGCCAAATGAGGCTGATTGTGTGCCTTGATTTTTGTGCACATGACTAATTGTGGGCTGCACAGCTGATTGTTGGGTGGTTAGCACTGTTGCCTCACACTACAAGGGCTACCATTTGAATCCCAGCTGGGGCTTTTAAGTTTGAAGTTTGCGTTTTCATGAATGAGTGGGGTATATCTGGATAGTGCAGCTTCTTATCAACACCCAAAAACATGCATTTTAGGTTAATTGAATATTCTAATGGTGTAAGCGTGAATGTGCTTTGTCTGGCCCTGTGATGGACTTGGAATATATTAAGAGTGTCCCTGCAACCTTACAGATAATTAGGGTGAATGAATCATCACTTATAATAACTCACAACTTGACTTTTGGCCATCACAATTCAATGGCTCTAATTGTGACTTCGGCAACTCTGGTCACGACCAGGGACGTACATTGAGAGACACCCTGCGGTGGACACAAGAACAGCAAACTTCGCGACTGCTAAAGGCGAAAGTGTACTTTTTAGCCCATGCGACTTTCCGTCTAAGCGCGCTGTCATGTCGGCTCCCTTGAAAGTGAGTTATCGTCCACATTTCGATAGAACACTAGGGTTTACATAGTATAAGAAATGTATATTTCTGGATTTCTTCCGTGCCCCTTTACAAGGTCGTATTTACTTTCGGTTGACAGGCTTATAACATGTCATACTCTTGCTGGGATTTCACGGGAAGGTCACTAATATGTAAGACACTGAATAGACGTGTTAGCTATTGTTAGCTTAAAGTACCTATGCATTTGTGCTATTTATCTGTCTTTCTGTATAAGGGGTGTATTAACAGCCCTCAGGGGCTGTATATTTATTTTGTTTAATTTCTGTACATTCCATATTTTTTGTGACTAAAAAGGAAGGGCAGAAGGGATAAAGACGGAGAAAGCCTGAATAGCCACAGCTCTTGTCCTCCTATCCCACCTCCTCTTCCTTGTGCAGACTCTATACAGATGCTGCCAGCGGTCAGCTCAACTCGTTGTTGCTAGGCGACCATGGAGCTCCAGCTCTGTAACTCCTCATCACCTTGTCTCGAGGCTCCTTCTCATCCTCACCCAGCGTTTCTATGATGTAGAAATGCTCTTTAACTGGAGATCGCAGATGGTTAGAAAGCGTCTTCAGAGGAAGAATATGTGAGATATTGGTGATGCCTAAACTGTCTTAAACTGTTTGTCTGTTCAGTTATATATTGCTGAAACAAAGCCACCACTTAGGTGACCTTAAAAACTATCTGTTTGTGTTTCTGTAGTTTTTGGTAGTAATGTTTAAAATATAAATGAACTGAATTAGTTGTCACCACATTTGTGAGGCAGGTTTTCCTGTCTGCATATTTTTGACCACTACTGAATTTTCCTTCTCTCTATCACAGTTACTATGGCTACACAAAAAGCTTTTATGGGCCAGACATAGCATCTGCTTATTATATCTTGAGTCTGGGGGGAGGATTTAGGTAAGTGCCTCATCTCTTTGCTTCCACACTCTGGATACTTTCAGCGCATATGGTATTAACAATTCCCTGAAGTAGCAAAAATGACTTAACAAAAGCGCCCAAGGCCAGCGGTCTTTACAGATATATTTCAGACTTAAAACCAGCAACCTTACTTTTTGACAGGCTCCTGTTTGACTCTTCACACTTCTCTTTTATGTTAGTTTAAATAAATCAATGCGTTCACAAAGTACGTTTCTTTTTCATAAAGCGGTGGATTAGCCAAGCGGTGACGGTAATAGCCAAGAGAGATGCGTTGAGTCTGAAGTCTGGAGATTTCAGTGACTTGAAAATGGCTCTTATAACCTGGCTAGATAACTACAAATGCATATCATTCTTTGGAGGATAATGTCAGAAAAACGGTGATGTTAACAGCAACTTAAAAGTTTCAAAATTGGATTCAGGTATTGATCAAGTGTTTACATCGAACTGTAGTGCTAGTCACAAGATAACTTTTACAAAGAATCAGTTATTATGATTTCAGTGATTGTATGTTGAGCTGTACTTCCATGCTGAAGGTTGAATGAGTGATCCTGTTGTAACGTATTTCGCAGGTATGTTGGCCAGTCAGAATGGTTCCATTCAGACCATAGGGGTAAATTCAGCTGGGATTTCCTGAATCACAAAGACACACCTCTAGAGGAAGTGGACATGAGCAACACAGTCATCAACTACACAGGACTGCTTAACCTCGGTAAAAAGTTCTAACATTTTCTTTCTCTCTTTTCAAAATCAACTTTATTCTCCATTAACCCTGGTGCTATGTTAATATGTCCAAAGTACTATTATTATTATTATTATTACTATTATTGTAACCTCGTCAAATTGATCTCAATTGAAAAAATTCCAAGGCTAACTGAGAGCTGATATGTACCAATTGTATACCAATTGTCAACACATGAAAATTGGTATACAATATTAAACAGCCCCGCTACAAATGCAACTTGATGGAAAACAAGAGAGAAAATGAGAGGGAGTGAAAGAGGTGTTTTTTCAGCAAAATTGCAAATTGCAAAAGCTGTAATTGTGTGTGTGTTTTTAAGAAAAGGAGATCATTCGGAGGATATTTCCTTAAGGAGAGGCATGCAAATGGCATATACTGAATTTAGTATTTGTTGTTTACAGTGGTGGGCCGTCAGGGCCTTCAAGGCCTTCTCTGCAGGCCTAAGAAAATATCTGAATCACAGACTGGTGTTAATCATATTTCGTCCATGGAAACTTATTAAATATCTCTAAATAGTCTGTCCGCTTCCTTTCATAGCGTTTCCCCTGGTTGCGCTGCTTCCAGACAAGCATTTTCATATAAAAGCATTTAACCAATCACATTTCAGACATCCTTTGTCACTAGGCAGGGTCAGAGTCAAAGATGTCTGCCTGGAGGCCTTCACAATCCGTTCTGCAGCCCCCCCCCCCCCCCACAGAAAATACATGTGGAGTACATTGTTGCTTCAACCAATCAGATTTTAGGTTGGTAATGCCTGCTGGAAGGCCCAGGAAATGTCACCGTATTCACGCCCGCTGATTGGATAGTCAGATATCCAATCAGGGCAAAGCTAGCAAACAAACCAAAATATAGTTGTGTTGGTGTAATGGCAATTTTATGATTTGGTGGCGGATTTACCAGGACCATTTTCAAATCTGACTTTTCAAGAAAAATTAAGTGAGTAAAATGTTGTTTTTTTCCTAAATAATATTGCAAGTTTATGAGGATATTATTGATATATTTTTTTATTATTTTTTTTTATTTTATTTTTTTTTGGGGGGGGGGGGGGGGCACAGCTGTAGCTGCAGGAGTAGAAGACTTGTGCAGCCCTGATCTTTATACTGTATTTTAGGCTGGTCCCGATCCGATATTTAGATCGTATCGGCCGGCATGAGAAAATACCGATCCAGACTCCAGATCCATTTGAAAAAAAAAGTCCGATCCCACACGAGCATTAGCATTAGCATTAGCATCTCCTAACCCACAGGTCTGTGTCCCAAACTTTAGTTGTTATAAGAGTAAATCCCTGTTCAACATGAGTCTGACAAATAAGTAAGAAGATAAATAAATTTCAACTTTAATACAAAAAGCTGGATCGGGACATCCCTAGTGTATTTCTACATAATAAGATGATTTCTATAACCATAAAATAGTTATTGAGGGGTGAATTGATTCAGACGGACCACTACTGAAGGCCTAGGTGTGAAATGCACGGTCCACCACTGGTTGTTTATAACTTTAGCAACAAGTGAAATATTACCAAATCGCCATTTCAAGCTTCTGTATGTAAAGTGGTTGAAGGGTTAAAGGTGTTTTAGCAGAAACATCTGCCTTGTTCATCTGTTTTGTCTCATTTCAGAGAACCAGCACCGTCTACGGACTCTGAAATTGCAAGGGTGTCCTGAAGTGGATGACTGGTTCCTGGCTAGACTGCATGTTTTCCAGGAATCTCTAGAGGAACTGGACATTTCTCACTGTGCGCATGTCACAACAGGCGGTTTGTGTGCACTCAGGAATCTCAAGTAATCGGCCAACTTTCACATTGTGCCTAGAAAACAGTACAATGTTAGCCCCTCTGTTAACTTTTTCTCTATATTCTCTCTCTTTGTGTGTGGGCTGTAGGGGGCTGAAGCATCTGAATGTGTCATCCCTACCAGGGATTCCCAGTCCTGGTTTAGTGATCATCCTGCTGGAGGAGATGTTACCACAGTGTCAGATCACAGCGGAAGGTTATGACCTCAGCGTAAGGCAAGAAGTACATTTGAACATGGACGAATAAGTGCAGAGACAGAGGCAGCGCAGAGATGGGGCCAACAGTCTGTACTGAAAAAGCTCCTGTGCCATCACTTAAAGTGTGAGCTTTTAAATTAAACTTGTCATATGTATATGGAATTCCATGTGTAGTCTTAGTCTGCATTTCATGTTTGCTGCAAAACCTCAGAATCAGTTTGATGGTAACATTTTATTTGGTAAGATTGTTGGTGAAATTGAAATCATTGATGTCTCATTCAAACTGCATTTTGTCTGCGATTACTTTTTTGTTGAGTGTAAACACTTGTGTAAATGTACATAATAAAGACTCAAATTGGTTAAATTTTACATTTGCATCAAGTGTACAGAATAATGGAAACCACGTGGCCACACATCATAGTATGCATCAATGTCTAATCTTCATTGTGGAAGCTTATGTGTGAAATCTAAAGCCCATAATCCAGTATGAGCCTTGTTCCTGCAGCAGTGATATCACTCAAAGTGTGCTAAAGAAAAAGCCATAAGACAAGGGTGACTACGCCTGAAGAAACCACTCCTATATATGTATGTAAAGATTTAAAGTAATTTGGTAGACATGCTTGATTTGGACGGATCATATTCAGAAGCTAGCTCTTTTTTTCCCCGGCTCAACTACAGTTGTCTGGAGTATTGTATTAAACATAAACATTTTAAATATATGTATTTGCCCACGTTTCTGTCAAAGCAGGTTTGATTCATGCATTTTGATTTTACGAAAGAGCTATTCTGTAATGAGCAGTAGGAATTATCGTGCCATTTCTGCTGTGTTGCGATAAACACGGACACTATTTTTTGACGGACAACATCAAGGCGGAACAGCTGAGTGGGAGTCGCGTTAAAGATCCGTGTTGCAGCTTTTTTAAGTTTTAGGTATATAAATCGATTGTCATCTGTCTCCTTGTGGTGTAAGGGTATCAGCAGACGGATACATGTCTGATGCAACAGGTTAGGAGGGCTTTTGATCCGTTAACAACTCACAGATTGGTAATGGGTACCGCTTAGCTAGGTAGTAGCTTTGCAGCTCTGGCTTTACACGTTGGACAATTCCAGTCGATCCTGACGTTCTTGTTCTTGTGTTTGCATTTTTAGAACTTCCTAAAAAGGAAGAAAAGTTGGAGGTTACTCCTGAACCAGAGGTAAAAACTGTTCATCCTATGTTTCCGATCATTAGCCGCAATCAAGGGCTAATGTTTTCATGTGCCTGTGTTTGATTTATACTAGTGATCGATGAATAAAACAAACTTCAGTCATCCATTAAAGTCTGCATTGTTTATTTTGTAGGAGCAATCCGACGAAAGCAGTGAGGACGAGGCTGTGGGAGAAACAGAAAGTAAAAATTTCCCTTTGTCCGTTTTGTTTAGTTGTCCGCTCGTCGGCACAATGCTAAGAAGCTGTTTAAAGATGATAGATGAAGGCCTCACTTAAAAGTGGTACTTATTATTAACTCTCAAGTTTAACATTTTTTAAGTTTTGGATGTTGTACTACAGCACACAATAGGGCAAAACACAAATTGCCCAATTGCACGAGATCAGATATTCATTTCTTTCATCTCTGTTCACAGAAATCACAGAATGCATGTGCGTGGTTCACAGTAACCCAAGAGGGACAAAAATATGAATGTAGTGAGATAACACAACTTGTGATTAGCAATGTATGTGCCATTACGGTAACAAAGTAATGCTTGTTGATGTTCAGTTTGTGCAAAAACGGATATTTCATGTTAAAGTCTTTATTAGTAGATATAATTGATCTACAAGCAAATACACATACATGTACATATATTCAGTGTCATTATTCCAACTACACATTAGTGAGTCTGATCATAATCCTTTTGTGTTTCTGCTAGTGGACTTCCTGCGCAACCTCTTCTCCAGTACTCTGGGGCTCGGTTCAACAGAAAAAGTTCTGGATGAGCTAACTCTGGAAGGAGTGGCGCGATACATAAAGAGCGGCAAATGTAAGTCTTTCTCTGTTTTGACTCACTCCGATTGCAATAAATGACTGATTTACTGCTTCCAAGTTACAATTTATATTAATGGAGTTGTGACTTTCTTACTTTCAAAACAGGTAAAAACATTCTTTGCCTGGTTGGAGCAGGAATATCCACTTGTGAGTGTATTAGGTTTGGTGTCATGGAATGGGTGATTTTAAAACGGTGAATTAATTATTTTTATAATCTTCTATGAGTAATTCTGAATGTTCCCTTCTTACAGCTGCTGGGATCCCAGACTTCCGCTCACCAGGAACTGGCCTATATGCGAACCTGCAAAAATATGACCTACCTTACCCAGAGGCCATCTTCCAGATAGATTACTTTAAGGTTAGCAAGAAATGATACCTTTGTTAAAGTCAAATTCACTTTTGACTTTATTTATAAAACACACATTGAAAAATCAAGCTGAACAGATGTGATGTTTAGTAGAATTTCAACTAATATATAGAGAAATAAGATACTAAGACATTCAGTGAAAACAAGATGAAAATATTAAAATGACTTTACATTGTAAGGTAACAAGTTTAAAAGGACTTACCAGTCCTTTTATGAACTTGTGAGATTAGGAACATTAGGGACACTCTAGATGGACACAGGACATTTATTTTCTCTCTGTTATTGAAAATGCATTACATTACAATACTTTTGTTTTCTCTTGCAACATTTTTGCTACTAATGAAAGGGCATGAGCAAAATTGTAAATCTTATTCCCTAGCAGCAGTCAGAGATCTTGTAAACCTTTTTGATTTTTTTCAAGAAAATATCTCATGAATTACTTTTTCAAATGACTAATTACTAATTATTAAGCCAAAGTCAGCATCCTACTTAGCTGCTGTCGTCAGTTACTTATGATAACCCTTTATTCTGACAGTTATTGTTAGATCTGCCTCTACAGAATGTGATATTTTCTCTGCCTTGCATTACAGAAACACCCAGAGCCGTTCTTTGCTTTGGCAAAGGAGCTTTACCCAGGACAGTTTAAGGTACAACAATCTCCTAATTGCTAATAATGAAATGTTTCATTTAAAAAAATAATAATAATAAAAGGAGTAACTGTTGTGATTTCTGCTCCTCTTTTTTGCTTCAGCCCACTATTTGCCACTACTTCATAAAGATGCTGAAAGATAAGGGGATCCTAAGACGCTGCTACACACAGGTGAGAAAAACGGGTAACTTCACATCTGGTAATAAAACTGCAGTATCATTGCTGCATTTCCATCACGGGATATGTCTGTGTAGAACATAGACACTTTGGAGCGAGTTGCTGGGCTTGAAGGAGACGATCTAATCGAGGCTCATGGAACTTTCTACACTTCGCACTGTGTTAGCTTCTGTTGCAGAAAGGAATACAATCTGGACTGGATGAAAGGTGTCGTCTGCTCTCGGTTCTGTTTGCTGCATTCTTATGCTTTTAGAAATTCTGAGTAATAATTTTGGCCATTTGTATTGTAGAAAAAATATTCTCTGATGCCATCCCAAAATGTGACAAGTGCAGCAGTTTGGTCAAACCAGGTCAGTGGATTCATTATAATACAAGACCTCGAAAACTTTGCACATTAGTCAACTAAACGCTTTCTTCTTAAATTAAATTGTTTTCATTTTGTGTTCTTCTCCTTGCCCAGATATTGTCTTTTTTGGAGAGAACCTTCCTGTCCGATTCTTCACGTCCATGAAGATGGTGAGCTCCTGCTTGTGTTTTGGGTCTCGAGAGAAGGGGATGCGATGTAACTATTGTACCAAAAATGAATTTGTTTCCCATCGCAGGACTTTCCTCGCTGCGACCTTCTTATTGTTATGGGGACATCTTTGCAGGTCCAGCCCTTTGCCAGTTTAGTTGGCAGGTACGACTGCTTTGCGTTCACACTCCTAACTGCACGCACAAAGCAGCGCACAAATAGTTGCTGTAATAAACCAGTGTTTCCCAGATGTGGTCTTTAAGAATCAATCACTGATTGAAATAAAAACACACAGGATGGTTGGGAAATACTGTTGGAAATTACTGGCAGGCTGTCAGCCTGCCTTGTAGAAGAAAAACTCCTTAATACATAATTTTGGAGGAAATCTCTTGACTCATCAGATATTTCTCTGTTTCGTATTTCTACCGTTTAGGGTGTCAAAAAGTTGCCCCAGAGTGCTCATTAACATGGAGAAAGCAGGACAGGTGAGCCCTAACTAATCCATTCTACTTATTGTGTCCTCTCTACCTATTTAATTATAGATATCTCTATTGAGTATTTGTATTTATGTGTTGCTGTCTGCAGGCTGATCCCGTCTTAGGGTTGCTTGGTTTTGGAGGTGGGATGGACTTTGACTCAGACAAAGCTTACAGGTGATTCTGAAAAAGATTGAGAACAGATACCATTTTTATAGTAAAGTATGTATCATTATTTCATACAAATTTGGATAAATGTTCAGTTTTAACTCACAGCAACACATATAACAGAAAAATCTCAGTTGGCCTTTATTCACTCAAAATTTCCAACATGTGAAGTTATTTGGAAAAAGCATTATTTGAATGCTTGTAGAAAAAATTGGACTATATAGACCCGTTTGAGTCTAGATTAGAATTTTTATGCTGGAGTGGTACAAAACAAACCAACCACATTCTCTGGGTGTGTTGTGGAGTTTAGAGATCTCAAGCCCCACTAAACATGGTCATCCAATAAAAATTCTAAGATACATTTTTCTGATGTGAAAAATGATCGATCATACGATTTTGACAAGCAAAAACTTACATCTGTAACTCAGAAATGAATTGATTATTGCTTTACATTACTGCATTATCACTTTACACAACAGAAAAAAGGCTAGGGAGTGTTAGGAGCCGAGCTCATTAGACTAAAGGAAACAAGGATAATTTCCCCAAAAAATGCTATACACACATAGCAAAATAAACTACGTAGGGCCTTTTAAAAGAGGTGAACTGAACAAAATGAAGTTATGGTGTGACAGTAACTTACGGTAACTAAGATACCACCTAAGTAGTTTCAAATCCGGTCCTCAGGGGTCGCTGTCCTTCAGGTTTCAGAAGTTTTCCTTTTCACATCAATGCCTCGTTATCAGGCAGGTGCAGGGCTTTTGAATAGACTAATGTCTTTAGTATCAGGTGTGTTGGACCAGCAAGTTTTTTTCCATTCCCATTTCATCTTAAACTTAAGAAAAAACTGACATGATACAGTTTAACATTTCACCATTGGATGGTGCCAAAATGTAACATATAATTTAGATGTATTGCTGTGTAGTGTGAAGCAACCACTTTGTGAATTAAAACAATTGTAGTACTCCGGTAGATTCTGCATGTTTTTGAAAATTCTAGTGAGTCAAATAATTCAAAGCATGTCCTTTATTTTGCTTGGTGTTGTATATCGGTATATCGCATATTATTCTGTAGATGGCATCCCTCAATTTAAGTAACATTGCTGATTCATAAAAGTAATTGGCACCAAAAGAAAAAACGTTTCTGCTTATGCCATAAGAAGGGCATTTTCCTAGCGTGCCATTATGCACTAAATAATAAGTGTTAGTTTGATTGCTGTTTCACTGAAACCAAATGTCAGATGCATTGCTTTTTTTTTGGCCCTATTGTTTTCTTTTTGGAACCAGATGTACTTAGCTAACACACAGGTTTCAAAAGTTTGCCTGCTACCCTTGAGTTTGTATCCCATTATACAAACAAAAAATTGTCAAAAGAATTATTATTAGTATAGTTATTGGTTTAAAAAAAAATAATTTTTTTTTTACTTCTAACAGCTTTATTTAAAAAAAATTGCAGTAGACTGATTTACCATCAGTTTTATGACGTATAAAAGACTAAAATAAGGCAGTCAGTGCATTACACATTGTGTTGTACTGGGATTGGTTGCCCTAACATGCTGATTTTCTTTCTTCTCTTCAGAGATGTAGCTCACATTAGTACTTGCGATGATGGCTGTTTGGCATTCGCTGAACTGTTGGGATGGAAGGTGAGCTCCACGTTTTTCTGAGAGGTTCTGTGTTCATTTTTTGATTGAGCTTCTTTGTGAAAGTTGAAACTGGGATGCCACTAAAGGATCACGTTCAGATCGCTGTTAAGTATAGGCAATTCCCCCTCCAGCCCTGACTGAATGTTCTCTTAGCTAGTCTTTTATTCTTAACTACTTTTTATACTTTTTTAGGCAACAGAAACATTCTAATGTAAAAATAATATAATAACATGGTGCTAACGAAGGCTCCCGCAGGGCAACTTTTAGCGACTCAAAATTTTACTCAATTTGCACTCACTCAATTCTTCTTAGAAATTCACACTGGGAAAGTGCAGTCATAAGAGATATTGTAAATAAAATAATAATAAAAAAGTCATTATACACAGCAATATTTTGAAGAAAAATGGCATCCAAAGCAGCAATAAATGTTTTTTCAAAATTCCAGAGCATGTGACCCACGTGTACATCCGGCAATGTGCTGTGTGCTCTTGTTTTATGACACCACAGCAGAGGTTCACATCAGAGCAGGCCTCAAGCCATTTCACAAGAAACGGTTTTGAACACCATGTTAGAAATTACATTAACATTCAAATATTTGTGGAATTTTTTTTAATCTGATTTATTGGAGATTTTATTTTATTCACCGCCACATTGAAATCAGTTTATCACCTGTGCATGCATCAGCATTAACACGGAGCTCATGTCCCAATTCAGATACAAATAAGGTGAGGGTTTATAGATTATAACGGGATTTTTTTTCTTTCTTTCTTTTTTTTTTTATCTTCCTGTGTGAAGATGTGGTCATAGTCTACCAGCGTGGACTGACACAGTGTGAAACCAAAAACTTGAGTTGTTTTGTGCTTTTGTGCTGTTGCCATTTGGACACCTCTGTTACCATGCGTACCAGTTACCTTTAACTAATTTTTTGCTCTCGTGTATGTCCAGGAGGAGCTTCAGGAATTGGTGAAGCAAGAACATGCCAGGATTGACAGTCAAGACGAGAGAGAAAAGGAGAGCAAAGAATCAGCAGCCATGGCGAGTTCTGCATCAGTGGAACCTCAGCCCAAAGCAGAGGAGTAACTTGTTAAAATGCCTTTGTATCTTTAATTAAAGCTACAAAAGTGATGTCACCAGTCAGGGGGGGGGACCTTGAAAGGAGATAAAGATGCCAAGGTTTTTACTTTCTGGAAGTGAAGCTTGAATTTCGCACTCTGCTTTTAAACCCAAGTACGTTTAATTCCACTGAGGACATCTGATATCCCTGTGTTTTACGCTACTGTTTATGCACTTTACTAACATTACTTTGCTTTCCATTTGCTCACATTTGGTCTCAACAGCTATACAGAATCTACAACAGTACAACACAATGTACAACGTTGGTACATTTCAGCCTCATGAGTGAAAGTTGGTTAATGAGGTCGCCACGCTGCATCAAAGCTAAAATGGCTGAGGTCTGAAGTGAGATCAGTTGACGCACCTCAGCTGTTTTCATATTCCTACAATTTGAATATTTTTTTTAATACCAGGCTATTTAGACACGTTCATTTTTAATTTTTTCTATCTAAAACCAGAGGGACCCAGTCTTGATAATGTTTCTGTATTAGAAAACTGACTTCCTGATAATTTAATACTTTTACCTGTAAATACAAGAAGATGATAAATTGTGTTTGGACTTCCAAATAATATGTTGATTTTTATCCAAGCGTGTATTTAACACTCACTTTATGCTCCTCTTTGACTCTTTCTTTCGAAATATTTTTTTTCTTTAGTTATTATCGAAGTTGAAATCCTCCTAGCTCTTAACTGAGTTTGCTTTATGTGTTTGTATCTATGAGGATGAAAAAAGGAAAAGGAGACAATAAGAAAAAAAATGCATGGTCGCCAAATACAGAGGTGTAATTGAAAATAAAATTCATTCTTGGAATGTGAGCTGTGAGAGCATGGATTGTTTCATCATCATTGGATAATGCCTCACTTTATGTGCTTCAGAACCGTAAATTTAAGAATTTTGTCAGTTGCAAGAAACCCTCATGAGTCAAGAAAAAGAAGGTATCGGTAAATTATCCTCCGACATGAAACTCAGATTACAATTTTGTTGCCATAATGCTAAACACGACAAGGGGTAAAAAAAAAAAAAAGTAAATGATGGTAGATATTGTACTACAATCACATGGCTCAGTTTTAACTAAGCTGAAGTTCAGCCATGTTAAAGAAGACTCTTAACCCAAATCATTCCCTGAGGGTAGGAACGGCAAGAGTGGGATAGAGAAAACTGAAATTAAACTATTTGTTGGAGTAGTCTCGGTCTTTACACTCAGTGGCAATATCCTGCTGCTTTTGGCAATTCATTTAGCAAGAATTGGAGATTGTGGAACTGATTTCTTATTTTACGTGAAGTTTCACCAGATCTGATGTCATATCATCGTAAACGGTTACAAGCACAACTGTCTTTGCAATGAAGTAAACTAGAAGTAGTGTCTCCATCCAGCTATGGCTACCACCTTTTTTTAGGTCAATGGTGCTAGCCTCCCATTTTCAGTTGTTCGTCCACAAGTCCTGTACCAGCCCACTTTACAAGTGGTTTGGATTGGTTCTTTTAAAGGTGAACAAACAGGCTGTTGAACTTTGCTATTCAGAGAATGTAGGTAGTGTCTGAAAATTCAAAGTAGGAATGACCAGCCCTATCACTGTTTTAACCCTAATCTGTTATATTGTAACACAGAAAAAAATGCATCTAGAGGAAACGTTAACATGAGGCAAAATGTACATGCAGTGGTTGAAAGTTCTTTCTGTAATCTCAGGTATTCAGTATTGAATACCACATTTAGAAGCTAATCCAAATAATCTGTTGAACAATGACTTCCTTTCACCGAGAAATCGATTCCTCTTCACTGTGTTGTTCCAATGGCAAACATACTAAGCAAAGTATACATCACATGGCAATGTTTCAAGATATTTTTTCTCTCTCTCTCTTCTTTTTGTCTGTCAGACTTAAAAGTAAGACAGAATCTTCCCGCACCTTCTACCTGTGCAGTACCAAATACACAGAACTCATTGACAAGTCATGACTGATGGCAAAATCCCCCATGTTTATATCTGATTTTTAGAGGTTGTGTTTTCAACTGAATGGAAACGTCATTTTCTCACAATAACTAAACTTATTGTTTTACAGTTTATACTCATTATCTTTGTGTAGTGTAATATTGTCTTATTCATTAATTAAAACAAAGTACTCTTATGGATGACAGCTGAATGATTTACTTATTCAATCTATTGGAGAAATAATTTACCATCATATGATTAATCTTTTTTTAAAAACTATATTCACTCTGAACTACAAGCAACTGATGGTCTATTTCAGTCCATTATTGGTGACTACACCACAAATTTGACAGTTGAATAATTGTTAATGAATATTACATCATTATGGACAATGGTTTCCTTTAAAAGTTGGAGATTCTTCTTTGAACGAGAGACCAGTCAACACCTTTCTATGCAGTTTCCATGACTGGTAGAACTGCTGAACTGCAAGCAATCCCACCACTGCATGTCCATGACAGAAAATGTCAAACTCCCCCCAAATGAGCCAATCCCTTTCTATCAATTTTACCTGCAATTTCTGCAAATAAAAATATGTTTATCTGTGTGTTGCTAAATTGTATGAGATATCAGTAATCCAGCTATATTAAATCCTGTGCAGAAAATGAATTCATACTCAAATCTCTGGCTATGCTCAACCTTAAAGAAGTACTTGTCCCCTTGAGTGTGCCGTTTCTCACCAGAAGTCAGAGAGAGCTTTTGCTGGAAGCAAAAATAGTCACACATCGCTCTTTAGAGAGTGTGCAGTGTATTTCAAGTGTTTGCAGTGTTCTCAGAGTTAGGTTAACCACAGGCAGACTCAGGGGGAAGAGAGGGTAAAGAGGCTGCTACGTTTTCAAACGAAAATTGAAACAGCATTTTGTGAGCGTGCGCAGAGGAGAAAAGTAGATCAACATGTTGGTAGGACAGGAATTAGCTCACCTTTGAAATGTAGGAAATTTGACACAAACTGATGCAGGAAACTTCTTGAGGATGTATTTCAGAGAAGAATGTGAACTTCCTAATTTACCACCGATTGTGTTTTGAGCTCTGAGGCAACACCGGATTTCTAAGGAAAAAAGACTTAAAGCGAAAGGAGACTGCATACAGTATGATCAGAAATTGTTCAGCGTAGAGGAAGAAAGACACATGTGAGTATTGACATGTCATGCCACGTGAAACTGCGTTTGCTTTGTTACAACACAGCTTACCCAGTTTCAGTGCCATCATGTAGACAGACATGGCACATGCACATAAACGTGTCCATATGCTTTCAACCAGGGCAGTTCACAGCCAAGTTAATGGAACAACAGCCATACCATGGAGAGGCAGCAGGAGGAAACGGTCACTCTTGGAGCAGCTGAAGGACTGTCAGGATGCCTGGTGCCCCAGGGCACCTTGGGATAGAGATAGGGCCCATGCTGCAATGTGTGGTGCAACCAGAGGGGTAAGAGACTGATTAAACCTTTCCAATAGATCAATTTATTTTTCAAGATCAGAAAAATACAGCAAACTTACTCTAAATGTTCCTGAGGATCACAGTCTTTCAACACTTTGGACCGATATGCAACTAGACATATGGAACTCTCACACTTCATCTAAGTTGTTATTGAATCTCGGGCATTGATGTTTTCAGAGGTAATGCAAGAACATAAAAATAACTGACTGAGAAGGAAAGTTTCTTTGTCTTAAAAAATGTTTCCATTGACTAATACTCCTTCTCATTAACACAAGTCAGTTAGTTTCTCATTGATATAATGATAATCTCTTTTTGCTACAATAACGTTTGACTTCTTATCAAACAGTAGATTGCAAAGAAAGACGCCGTGTTGCAGACATCTTCCTGTGACACCGTTTGAAGAACACACCTTCTGTAACTGGCACAGAATATGGGACTTGCTTTTTAGTTCCTTCTCGGAATCAGTCATTAATTGCCAGAGGTACCCTCTGGACAGGTCACTGGTCCATCAGAGGACTAAGAATGGAACAAAAAGTATATTCTTTTTTTAACTAACCTGATAATATCAAAGAGGTTGCACTATGAAGAGCTGCTTAAGTTGATTAAATATAATGGAATTTATTTTCTGTTATAGTTAAACAAACTAAATTCCTTTATTTTTATATTGCTGTCCTCTGTTCGTTCACAACATAATGAGCTCAAACTAGTTCATTCAGCAGCCCTATGATACCACCCTACTGGAGCTGACTTTTGAGTTATGCACTTAGAGATATTCATTCGTTGTCCAGTACGGTTGGAGATGTCACTGTTATTTGTTTTTGAAAATCTCTGAAATCTATCTGAAATTCTCAGCTTGTGAATCTTCTTCAGTGCTTTTACCCTTTTACGTTTTCACATTCTTTCTGGTGGTGGAACTTTTTTGTTTTCCAAATTAATTGCAGTCAGAAGCTTTCATTGTTGGTTTTAGCCTCTGCTATTTTTTCTCCAAGCTTTTCCTTCCTATGCCTCTGTCAATGAGCAACCTTGTAATTGCTCTGACTGAAAGGCACATTACTGACATTTTATATTAATTCTAACTGAGGTAATGAACCTTCCCTTATAAAAATAAATGCATCGTGAATATAGAATATTAATTACTTAACAGAAATATTTCCACAAATTAACTAAAATATATGAAAATCCATAAGCAGTCATCTAGTTTGGTGATTGAAGAATGTGGGCACGATGTCAGATCACATGACACGATAGCAATGCTCAGTGTTTAGATTTTGGTTTCCACCAAAAACATTTTTTTTACAATCTCCTAAAATAAATCTCTTTCCCTCCATTTATCAATGTCAGTTTATCCCATCACTCTTTTTATTCTCTCTTTTACTTCCACTTCCTGTTCCTGTTGTTACTCTGTGCCACTGCCTGCTGTATATCGTGATGTCAGCTTGGTCAGTTAGAGGTTAGTTTGCTGATTGTCTCTTTGGCATTTAAAGCTGTTCAATGCTGTGTTCTAACAAAGAAAGCAAAAAAAGATTTGCTTGTAGGGGAGACTGTATTAACTTTACAGAAAATTAAAAAGTTGGTCGGCTGCAGAAGCCAGGTTGACACACACATTTTTGTACATGAAGGCAGTTCCTTTTTGTCAGTAGACTTCTTTTGGGGCTGAATGCAGAAGTAGTGTTGAATAAAAGCTTGCACGCAGCAGGGAAATGACTTAACCAAAAGGATATTTCACACACGCAGAGAGACTGTGAGTAGCAAAGATAAATGTATTTAATCTGTATGTGTTGGTTATCTTAAAGTGTTACATGCAGATAATAATCAAGAAATGCACAGGTCTGGCAGAATCAGCTCATTTATACCAGAAGGGTGTAGGAAATCTTATGTTGTTGGCACATAGGCTGTGAAGACATTTGAGAAAAAAATGTAAACAATAGATTACAGGTTGCCTGAGTCGTGTTTTAACCAAAAAACATTTGCTTGTTGTCCCATAGACTCTTTAGGCTGTAGTTGCCAGAGAAATTCATGTTGTTCAGGATCTCTACTGCGTGGCTGACCTGGTGACACAAGTTTGGTTGGCCAGAAGTGAACCCTGCTTTATTCCTGTGCACCCTACATCTAAAAGCCACTCCCTGTGTGTGTGTGTGTGTGTGTGTGTGTGTGTGTGTGTGTGTGTGTGTGTGTGTGTGTGTGTGTGTGTGTGTGTGTGTGTGTGTGTGTGTGTGTGTGTGTGTGTGGGGTGTGTGTGTGTGTCTCTGTTTATTTTAATTTTGTACAGGTTTAAAATATTGAACGGTAATTTGTTTAATGCAAGTTTACTGTAACTCAATTTCGACAAAGTAGAATTGCAATTGATAAAACATACATTTGTGTGAAATGAGAGGCTATGACTTGGAAACAGTTCTTTAGAATATATTTTCCTTCAAGTATTCTACAATCATTCTACAATCTGTCTGGTTGGTGTATTGTATGAAAATGCAGCAGGCCTCATTTCACTGCAACATGTCACTAGAAGCATGACCAAACTAATTAATTAACTTTACATTGACTGTTGTAGCATTTCAACCTCTGACATAATTGGCATACCAAGTGACAAAAAAGCTATTTTAAACGGGTGATTAAAACTTGTACTTGGGTTTTATAGATAAACCATCCATTGCTCAGTATTTCAACACTTGCTTTCTTGTTGCCATGGAACCAGGCCCCGTACCGTGCCGGTGTGATCATTTAAGAGAAAAGGACTTCCTGCTCATCAGGCTTGTGTATCTTTTCAGACAGCCGAATGAGTCACAGTGTATTTCCCCGCAGAGTTTCCTGGTTGTGCGGGACGCCTCGTCTCAGCCGAGCCTGCTGTGTGTGTCTACTGGAGCAGAGGATGAAGTTTCTGAATATAGTATAAATTGCAAAGACGCGGGTATGAACCAGTTGCATGCAAATATGAATCTGTCTATAAGTTTTTGTGTCTGTGCATGATCCAGGCAGCTGGGTTCACTCTGTGTCACTATCATGGTCGTTTGGTTATTCATTACCTTTGCCAAACTCGACTAACCAGGCCAATGACGTAATCAGGCACAGTAGGCACAGTAATGCTGATTGGCTTATGTAGCTGCACCCTTAGCCTATTGTGTTAATGTTGCACCTGAGAAAGACCACAGAGAAATCTTTGAATTTCTCTCATACTGAAAACAACCCCACTTTCAACAGTCAGCCCATACCTGCTATTTATCAAAGATTTATATGCAGAGAATCAACTAGCCTCTGGGACCTGCAGCACTCTGCTCATTACAAAGAACAGTGAAAAGGAACAAATTTATTCGCAATGATGCGTGGAAGTAAACATACGTTTACAGTGACAATAACTGATCTTGAGAAGTCCCCTTTCCGGCTTACTGGTTCATATTTCAACATGTTTCCAAGAATGTCAAAAATAGTCTAATGAGACAGATGCTATCCACTTGTTCATTGTTTCTCTGTGACAGTCTTCCAGCTTTCTGAGTCTCGTCTATCTTTCTCTGATCTGCCTCAGTTGGTGCTCTTCTACTCTCTGACCAGGTACGAATCTGCTTTTCAACTAGTATGTGCATTATTGTGTAGATGTGTGCAGTTGTTTACATTTTATTATCAGGTACATAAAAATAGCATGCTGTTGTCAATGTGGCAACTGTAGCACATGCTAACTTTAAACAGATATATAATGGATTTTTTAAGGCTTCATAAACCTTTGCAACCAATCTACTTCACAAGTTTCAATGTTTGTTATCTTTTCCATATCAGAGACGTGCTAGCTGTTTGTCTGGCCATTCCTCACTGGATGAACAATGTAACTGAGATGAACAACGATCATCTTTCTCAACTTGAACCCAGTGAGTTTATGCCGACAATAAATTAGAAATATAAAGCCAAAGAAACATTTTGGCTGACGTTTCTTGTTTCATGTAATTCTCTAACTCAGAAACCTGGCTATTCCCCCCACCTGAGCAGACTGAGGAAATTGCCCACAAAACGATGAGCAGCATGATGTGTTCTATACAGGTAACTAAACTCATCATGTTCATATTTTGTTCTCAGAGGAAGTTTAAAGTTTGATAGTCAACTGAAAACCACTGTAGAATAAAGCAGAACATTTATCAGGTGACTTGAGGATCTTTTTTTATCCATGAAATTTGTCATACTCTATTGCCACTAATTAACTTCAAACATTTATGAACCATATAAGTTCTATGAATCAATGCCTCTTGAATAAAAGTTGCCCTTTAATCTGAAGGAGTGAACTTTCACTCTTCACTAGCATGTATACGGTTATATAAAGGAAAAGATAGTTTATGGTTTTATGAAGCCTATTGCAAAGCAGGAGGCTGTGATTTGTAATATCAGAACACTTGCAATGGAACAATTTTAAAAGGCTCCAAAAGGCTTGTGAAAGAGCAACCATGTAGGCTAGTTCTGTTTTAGTGTTCCTAGGAATTAGGCCAGATATTGAGAGTGTTTAACCAGGACAGAGTTCTCATTGTTGATACACTGTATTTAATAATATAGGTCCCCCAAAACTGAAAATTGGCAACCCCCCCCCCCCCCCCAGATGGTTCCTGGTGATGTTTCTTGTCAGGGTGTTTTTTTTTTGTATACTCACCTCTGATGTATCATCAACAAAGTTGTTTTTGTGTTTTATGGATATTGGCGTGCAGCCATATGTCTCTTTTCTATATATGATTTAAGTATTGTAAACGACCAGCCGAGGGTCAGACTTGGGGAGAGATATGTACAAAGTCTAAGTGGGCACAGGAAAGGACATTCCTTAATCTGCATACATAAAATGGTATTGAGACTAAGCCTAAGCAATTTGGTCGATACAAGAATGTCAAAACAAAAAAAAATAATTTTAAAATGATTCTCATATATGACCCCTTCTGGTCATGGTGTGTAAATGTCAGGTGAATGGCAAAGATCATCAAGTTATGTTTGATGATCTGTGAATTGGTTTACTCCATGAGCTTGTCAGTGCTTGTTGAAATTGGCTGGGCAGATTTCATATATTTTTTAACCATCTGTGAGGGAATGCTTCATGTTATTCTATTTGGGAAACTTGGTGTGGTTTAAAAAACTGAGTTAGGTTGTATGACACAGTCCCAGAGTAAAAAATGATACCTGTGCAAACTGATAGGCAAAGCACTGAAGTCTACTTTGAGCTAAGGCAATACTATTTAAATGAATTTTTCTGTAGAAACTGAACTGGACGCTTTCATTTTCTTCCATTTTTTCTATAATGTAATGTAAGCCACATGAACTTCTTTCCACAGTATGTTTCACAACTAATTGATTTTCACAAACAATATGATGTTTAGGGTTTCCCCTAATCTCTTATTCTTTACTTGTGTATGTGGTTTTCTCAGCTGACTTCAAGCAATGGCGCCATGTGCATCATTAATCCACTGTACCTTCATGAACATGGAGACGACTGGCTCACCCAAAGAGCACCTGCCTGTCAGCAGTCGAATTACACCCGAATGCGACGCCTCAGCACCACCCGGACATGGGCAGGATCAGGATTACAAAGTAAACGAGCCATCTCGTTGGACCAGGAACCTTCAGCTGCCAGTGCAGAGAGCTCCGGTAAGAAATGTTGTAATCTATTGAAAACCGGAGAACATATTGTATTTTTTTATTTTGATTCTTGAATGTCATGTTTTTCTTGCTCAAGGTCTAACTAGAGCCAGGTCAGCTGATTACCCACCTACCCCACCAACACCAACAACTGTGGTCCTCAGGAGGCCCAGTCGTGATTTGACCCATAGTCCAACTCAAAGAGCGAGCACAGGGAGTCTGTCCACCCCCTCAACCCCAGGGAACACAACACCTGAGCTACAGTGCCACAGCAGCCCCGTTCCTCAGTCTCCTCACAGGGTTTCCTGGATTGAAGATGGATTTTGGTTGCCTCCACCGAGACCTTCGTCTCTTCTCCATCCTCCATCGCTGGAGTTAGACTCACTTTCCATCAGCAGCATAGAAGAAGAACAGGACTTTCAAATGCCAAGCCTCACATCTCATCACCCATCAGCACACCGCTTGGCAGATAAGGTCATACATCGGCTGTCTGCGGTTGGTCAGGCGCTTGGCGGGCTCATATGCCAGAAAAAAAAACTGACCTATCGGGTGATAGAGCTGAGCGAGAAGAAAAATGGTGCATTCGCCGAAGCTGTGAGAGCTTTTGTGGAGACAACACACAAGGGAGGAACTGATCCCAGCAGGGCAACAGGGTCAGAGTTCTTACAGGAAGTGAGGTCATCACTGACATCCCTCAGGGAGACACTCCTGGACTATCCAGAGATCCACACATTACTGGAAAGCATTACTGACTTGAATGACTCTGAGATTGGTTAGTGTGCTCGTAGTACCTCACCTTATGAAGTGTATTTTGTTGTTTTCTCAGAATCAGAACCCTGTGTTAATTTCTCTTCACCTCTTCTCTTTTTAACCCTTCTGTAGACTCCCTGGTGGAGCTTTCCCTCCACAAAGTGGCTCTGAAACCCGTCGCTACCCACCTCTACACATGCATTCGCACATCCTGGACCAATGACGGCAGTTTTGAGAAACTCCAGAGCAAACAACGTGTGCTTGAAAAGAATAGTGTGGAGGAGCTTGGAGGTTCAGCTGGAGTTGGAGTACCTGACTCTGTCATTTTAGAGCAGATACAGCAGAGGTGGACAACTATGCATGAAACATACTCCCCCAACAAGAAGGTCCAGATTCTTCTCAAAGTGTGCAAGAGCATATATCACGGCATGAGTGCCAATGCAAGATCAGGTATTCTGGTTGTATTTTGACATTGTTTCAGTTACAATGCCTATCTGCTACAGAAGCATTTATAGATGTCATGTTCACTGTCTTATCCCTCCCAGGAACAGTGTTCGGAGCAGATGACTTCCTACCCTGCTTGACGTGGGTGCTGCTCCGCAGCGACTTGGCTACATTGCAGGTAGACACGGACTATATGATGGAACTGCTTGACCCTGCACAGTTGCAAGGAGAGGGTGAGATAAATACACACAAAGATTTCAACAGAAGTTTGTGTAAAGGGTTTTGTCTAAGACAGTTTCACTTTCATCTATAGGTGGCTACTACCTCACAACTCTGTATGCCTCTCTGTACTACATCAGCAGCTTCCAGGAACGCTTGGCTGTTCGCCAGCTTAGTGTGGAGGCCCAGCATTCTATTAACCAGTGGCATCGTAGACGGACCTTGCACTGCAACCAGTCACGTCGAAGCAAACACAGACGGACAATTCGCAGACAGGCGGGTCAAGAGAAGCACATTGATGCGTTGGAGAATGAGACAGAAAGCAACACAAAGGCTTTGCAGTGGGAAAGGAAAGATGTAGAACAAGAACTTGCTGACCAATCACCGACCTCCCCTCCAGCTTTAGACTGTCAACCTGAAACACAGCAGGAAGATATAACTAGCAAACAGGAAGATGGTTTGAGTCCTTGTGTAGAAGCAGAGGAGGACCAAGAGGGAGTGTAATATGGAAAGAAAAAAGGAGCCTCCGAGCTGAAAAACAGGTGTACCAATAATCCATTATTTTTGCAACAATCAATACACTTTTTCCTAATAAAGTAGAAGCAAGTCAATACATTGCATTTTAACAGGACCTTTTTATCATTGCATTTTTCTCAAAAAAGTTCCACTGACCAGAAGAATACTGATTAAAAGTTATTTAAAGCCAGACCAGCTGTATTTCTTAAAATACAGTCATTAAATGATTATGTATAATTTTTTAATGTGTAACATTATGTGTAACAAACTTATACAAAATATATTAGTTTATAAAGCAATGTAAAGAGAATAAAGTAAAAAAAAAAACTTCTTTGATGTTTTTTTAAGGAAAACATACCATTCATAGGTGTCAGCTTTTTTCTGCAAACATGCTCTCATAAGGGCTGCTTTGGTTGGTTTTTTGCCTCTATGTATTTGCTGTTTTTGTGAAGCAATCTTGTCAAACCCCAATAATCAGGGTACCCTGTACAGCGTGTTTCTCCCTGCTTCAACACACCCAACTAAAATTAGTTGGACCTTAACAGACATTATCTGAACTTGAAGAGTGAGGGGAGCATCTAAAATCTGCAGATCAGTGTGCCCATTGGTATCTGACAGCACTGTGGATAAACAGGTTCCCCAAGTTCCTGAAACAAAACGTCTCAAAGCTTTTTTTTGTCATGGGAAACGGCATACAAAAATAAAACTGCTTTTACAACTTAACCCAAGTTTCTGTCAACCTCTTGTCATCTGAACACACTAAAAAAATCTTTTCTAAAATTAAACCACTAGAGGACACCATATACCACCTCTAAAATGAACAGATCAAGTACCTCTAGTGGTTCTCTTTCTCTTTGTTACATACACACACACGTCCAAATCACATACATGTTTGCAACATGCAAACAATGTACAAACATTTAATTTGATGGGGGTTTAGAGGAAAACTGAAGACATGTCTGAGAGTATGCACTCATACATACTCTCACAAGGTTTCAGTAGGGGTTTCAGAAAGGAAGTGTGACTGATGAGCCAAGCCAACCACTTCTCAGAAAAACTAGAACTATAGTCTGAATTTCTGTCAACTAAAAATATCACAACTCTCCAAATTTTCATTTTTCTTCTTGTTTATCTTTGGCATACGCTATTTCAACTTTTACATTTCTATTTATTTTTTGTCACAATATGTGTTGTAACAGTATTGACCATAGCTGACACCGTACGTTTGCAGCATTGGCGTGTCATGCCGCAGTTATAGCTTTCATAGAACACATAACTTGAATAACTGATCCTTATAAGATTAATGACTCATATGACTTGTGGTTGTGTGGTCCAGCTTTAAAAGTGTTATGTCACAGACCAAAACAATGAACAAACAATTAAGCAGGACGCAGATTGCTACCATATCCAGTGTTTATTTGGACAACTTTATAGTTGTGTACATTTCCTCTGTCCTTTAAGCTTCATCTCCTTTTTTTTAACCAATGATAAATCATGTTACACCTTATTGTTTGGAGTTACTCCCTTCTTTTTCTTCTACTTCTTCTGTTACTTTGAGGTCAAAGACCAGTTTAGCAATTGTGAAGCATGCCATGGCCAGATTGAGCTGAATTTGAGAGTGCAAGTTTATAATTAATTCTAACTACGCAATCATGAGTGCGTTAAGAGGTCCACCAATGATAACTGCAAGAATGGGAATTCCCACACATGCTGGGTGCATAAGTCTTGTAACAGTATTGCTTCATGCTATGTATTCCAGCTTTGTCCAGACTCCAAATATTGAGCTTGTTGACCTGTAGAACCCAATTCCTGTAAGTTTAAAAGACAAAGTAATGTAAAACCCGCAGTGTCCTAAATGACAGTAACAAGAGGAGCATTCTTCTCTACGTTATGAGAGTTGTTTCCTTTTGCAGAAAAAATAAACGTTTGATAATATCCTGCCACCCTCAAAGAGAAGAACAGTCAGTGAAAACAGAATATCAAATATCCAAAGGCCATTCAGCAGTGTTTCATAGGTGATTGGACCCTTTCAAAAGATATTTGTAGTGCCTTATTGTCTAATTATCAAATAGTAAGCCAATAATGGGTACTCAAAAATGTCAAACACTGAATAGAATTAGGATATAATTTAGCTTTCACATGTAGTTATTATAAAAAAGTCTATCGTTCATGAGGTGTCCCTGATGTAATTGTAGTCACAGTTTGCAATCAAACTAATACTTGAACAGAAAAATCCTCATTTTTTTGTTTTGCATTCTTGCTAGGCATAGTTCCCGAGTCGACCTCGGAGATATGTACTTATTTTGTTGGACCAACATAATAACATGTAGACTATTTTAAAACTAAAGTTTGCATCAGATCAAAGAAATATTTTTTTGAGTCACATAAACACTTCCTGAAGATATAGTTTATTGGGCGGCTGTGGCTCAGAAAGAAAGAGCAGTTGCCCACTGATTGGAGGGTCAGTGGTTCAACTCCAGAACACATGTCGATCTGTCCTTGGGCAAGGCTCTGAACCCCAAGTTGCCTATACTGGTTGCATCTGGTGTGCCCACTAGTGCAACCAGTGTGTGAATGGTGAATGACATGTAGTGTAAAGTGCTTTGAGTAGTCAGCTTGACTAGAAAAGTGCTATATAAGTACATTTAGAGTCGAGGAAGACCACTTTAAGAATTTGACTGATGTTCCAACTATATTTGAACTGAAAAGTAAACCATTTAAATTCATATTAGTTAACATTAATGCAACAAATCACGGAACATGGCATATCTCATTTCGATGTAGATATAGATGGTAACTCCCTTCTAATGAGAGAAAGCCTAAAAAAAGCACATTCAAGCTTCTGGCTGATGAATTTTAGACAAGATGAACATGATTTTCACTGATGGGAAATAGACTACCTATTCATGCTGTGAGACCAAAAATATTCAAACTTACAGTGCAGTAATCGATTAAGCAAGTTGCGTACAAAGTGAAACTTATATGGGATTTAGAGTGAAGAAGAGTTATAGGATGAAAGTCAAGTGGCAGATGAAGATGAAGCTCTAAAAGAGATCTAATCAAGAATTAATAAACTCTTCAAGAAGCTGAAGTTGAAGTCAAGGGTTGCAGTGGCAGTTGAAGTGAGATTACATGGAGCAGAAGCTGAAGAGGCTGATTAAGATGCATTTTATGAAGTTAAAACAGAAGCACTGAAATGAAGTTCGATCTTGTTTTCTCTTTTGCATCTCTTCCAGTTTACACATTATCCTATTGCACAATAAGTAATACAAGTTAACCTGCATAACTTTATAGTTAGCACTGGTTAACAAAAGCATTGAAGCTGTGCATACACACATGTAAACAGTTACTATGGGGCCTCTTATGTAAATGTACACACCCAGCGCCATGCACACACACATATGGAATCGTCTCACCGCTGCATCCTAAGCAGCAGAGCCAATCAAATTTGCTTAATGAGACATCTGGCAATCTGCCTGCATGTGTATGTCAAGCCCAGAAAGAGCTGGGACTTTACACACATACAGACACAGGCACACATGCTCACATATTCCATTTCTCTTCTCACACTTTAGCAGAGCTGCCAGAGCTGGTGAAGTACTGACAAAGACATGCAGTTATACACGCAGAATCACACATCAGTCGGGGTCATGCAAACACACACACACACGGGGCAAAAGACTGTCGATGAAACAGTTGCGGTCTAGACTTTACTGGTCAGCACATAATGTCACACACCGACTCTCCCACACGCAGTTCTTTCACACATGTGATATATTATGCATACATGAGTGTGTGTACCACACTCACCACAGCCATAAATTAGATATATGGCGACATTGGCTGCAGTGGAAGGGGGTGCAGATAGAAAAGAGGAGTGTTTGTGAAATGAGAAAAGGGGGGGGGCACAGATGGCTGTAGCCTGAGGCATTTTAGGTACTGCAGCTAAACATGGAGACTGTAACATACACACACACTCAAAATAACGTGTATGTGTGCGCACGAAGAGGAGATGCTCACATTGTCTATGTTGATAGTCTAATATTGTCTGATATTGCCATATAAGACTTATTTCTCTTCTGAATAGTTTTATCCATCCATTTTCTGAACAGCTTATTCCCGACGGGGTTGCAGGAGTGTTGGAGCCCATCCCAGTAGACAACGGCCAAGAGGTACACCCTGGACGGTATGCCAGTCCATTGCAGGTGATAAGTTCTAGAGACAAGCAAATATCTTTGCGAACTAAAAGGTCCTTGTCTTGACTGGGTAACCTGTAAATTTGTGGGCTATGGACTATAATTTTTCAAGGGGAAAATTGGATTCCCCAACGTCCACAGTAAAAGCAGTTTTTATTTGATCAAACCTGGATACAAAAAACTGGAGCCAGACCTTTGACAAAATGTCAGACATTTGATACTGATGTCCAGGGTTACTCATTGAGGTTCAGAGAGTAATTACATCTAGATGTGTAAATGTGATTACATCTACCAAAACAAACTTTGTTTGGGGAAACTTTAAATGTGTCATCACTTTTAGCACAATATTTCATTCTGGGCCAACCAATTAAAAGCCTTCTTATCCTTATCAGGGTCAGCCTAAAATCTAGCTCTTGTCCACAATGCAGGAGAATTTCTGTTTCCTTGTTGTTGTTGTTTTATAATCAAATACTAGATAAAAACAAATATAAAAAATAAGAGAAATAATTGCAACTACACAGTTCCAAAATGGATGATGCTTACATATGCAGGTTTGTAAAAAGATTGAGCAGGGAAGTTTTTTTACCCCCATAATCTAACACTCTGGACATTTGGATTCCAGCTGTCTCCATGAATGACGGATATCCATTTGGCTCTCTTTTCTTTGCATTTTCGAAGTATGGAAAAAGAAACCCTGACTTCTCATTTGGATGTAACCTGAGAAAACAAGCCTACTCTCTTACAGAATATCTGTTTGCACTTTAATGATCTGGTAAACTAGATTTCAGTTATTTTAATATTTATGATGACAATTTTGAGATTAGGAAATTGTTTTAATTTTTACCACTTTATTGGGGTCCCTAGAAAGTGTTATCTCAGTAATTCATAATTCTTTTTTAATTTAAAAAATCAGATTTTAAAGCTTCCATATTGATATCACAAAGCAGATTACAACTACAATTTAAGCATTAAACAAAAACGTCTATAAGTCTCTTTTTGTAGATCATATTGTGCTCTTTATGTTTTTCAGCCAAAATCATGATGCTATAATGAATATTATTTTAGAAATCTAACATTGCAGAAATTTAGCAATATTTGCATCGTCTTTTCAAATTCTGGAATATTACCTTACGGTAAGTTAGCTCACTTTGATTGTTTTCATTTTCAGAAGAGAAAAAACAAACTTCTCTTTGAATCTCTTCTGAGAAGATCCACCATAAAATGTTTTACTCTTTTCCATGTGTTTTCTGTGTTTGTGTTTGAGTTTACTGTGTCAGATGACATCACAAACACGAAGAGCCAAATGAGCTTCCATTGCTTCCAATATTAAAGTGCAGAAGACATTAAGGATGACTTTGTTCATTGATCAAGAAAACTGTTCAGAACTTTGTTTGTGAAATGGCTGGGAGACCAAAACAAAACAAAGTCCTTTGAGAATATTGAGCAGATTATGGAGTGGTGATACTAGCACAAATCTCAAAGTTCATGAAAAAAATTGTGTAATTTAAATTTTTTCTGT